CGCCAGCGTGGACCCCCCGGCTTTGTGTCTGTCGGTGTCGGCGTGTTTTGTCCCGGTTCAGGCTCCTCTGAAAAACGGCAGGGAGGAACGAGAGGCGGACACCAGCCCCATGCTCCACCTCCTTGACAGGGGTTTTCCTCCTTCTCCTCCCCTTTCTCCCTCCGGCTCTCCGCGGCCCTCTCTCCTCCCTCTCCCCTCCCTCTCTCCACTCGGGTCTCCGGGTTTCTCTCCGGTGTCACGTTACTGCCTCTGCCTGGGGAGGGGCGGGGGGCGCGGCGATGATTCGCAACGAGGAAGAAAGTTTCTGGGTGTTTTTTCCTTCCCCCTTTCGCTACAATCTGGCCTCCGTGCCTGCGCCACCAGCGACCTCTTGGGGGCCCCGCTGACTTCCCTCTCGTAAACAGTCACGGGCAGGAAGAAGCACGACTTCTTTTACTGTGCATTTCATTGCAGAAGCTCGGTTCTCCTTCTGCGTCCCGAACTGTTCGCCGACGGCCGATCACAGGCACCGGGATAGAGATTCAAGACTTTGCTGCGATGGTGAAAGAGCAAGTGGTGTAAATTAGAATTCAACGCTCCCCGTAGGGCCAGGCTTTCGCCCGGACTCCTGAGCAGAAACAGCTTTCTTCTCGCTTGTTCCTCGTGCTGCAGCTACTCATCCACGGTAGCGACCAGAGAGAGACAAGGGTGCGAGGTACGAAGAGACTCAAGGAGGTCATGCCGCTAGCAGATGCAAAGGGGAAAGACCCTACACTCCCACTTCATCCTGCCTCCCTCCCTTCCAAGGGAAAGTAACTCCTGGACCTGGGCAGAAAGGCTGCAGCAAATACAGATCAGCTGATGGGAATGGATGGGCCATGCAGGAAAGGGCTGCCCTCATCAGCCACCCTTTTCGTAAGAATCATTTACTGCTCTGTATAGAAGCTGTAACACCTGAGGCTTTAGTGACTTGTCCAAGGCCACAAGGGCTACTAGCAATCGGCTTGGGAGCTGCATTCAAACCTGTTTGAGCCTGGAGCTCACTATACTAACCACTACACAGAACTGTCACCCAGCCAGGGCCCTTTTGTCTCACGATTTGCAGGGTGATTAGAGGGTGAGATAGAACTCATTTAGCCCAGGCCACAGTGAGAAACGGAAACCTCAGCTTTTGATGCTTATCTCTCTCTCCCTACTCACTCTGTACTGTAGCTGACAACCAGATTGAAAGAAGAACCAGGAGTCAGGGACCATGATAACTCTATGACTGTCCTGAAAACCTCTATAAAGTCGGGGTAGCTGAAACATTTTTAACGGAAAATTAGGGAATAGGATCCTGAGATCAAAAGCTTACAATTTAAGAATAATTTGGTTGAACCAAAACCCATATGTGAGTATCTCTAGTTCCTGATCTGAAAGCAATAAAGAGACACATAGATAAGCTGCAGAGACTTATAAATGAAGCGGGCAGTGTCACACACATATTCACAAGTGCAGGTGCACAAATTCTACTTCCCAGTTTTATGTTGCCCTCGCCCACTTTCTCACTGAAAATCCTAGAGGGTTAATGATTTATCTCACATTTATTGCATGAATCAGAGATTTAGATTAATACACACATTGTAGAAATGGAATGCCCCTGAGGCAATCAGTCATTGCTCATTAATGTGAATTAAAACACTGAGTAGCCAGAAAAAGGCTCCCCATTAATAATTTTTGAGTTAATGAAGAGGGGCTACAAGATGGGAGGATCAAAGCAATTTCCATAATATTTTAAGACCACCTTTGACAAATTGGACCTGTACCTGAGGCCTGGCCCCATAATGTGAGTGTTTTTCATTAGAAAAAAAATGTGCAAGATCCTTTGGGCTCACAAGGACCACCCCAGGTCTAGAGACTTCTCTCCCAGAATGCACTGAGAAACCTCCTGTTCATTCTCCTAAGGACAGAAATCTGAGCAACCATGAGGTTATAACAAGAAGAAAGGAAATAAACATCTCAAAATAAATGTATGGGAATGAAAGTTTGCTATTTTTTTATCCTCGCCCTAGGATATGATGCTTTTATTTATTTTTTTCATTGATTCTAGAGAGAGAGGAAGTGAGAGGGAGAGAGAGAGAGAGAGAGACATATGGCTAGGTTGCCTCCTGCATGCGCCCCCACTGGGGATCAAGCCTGAAACCCAGGCTTGTGCCCTGACCCGGAACTCAAAATAACAATGGCTTAGACAAAATGAAAGTGCAAACAAGTCCAGAAATAGGCAATCCAGAGTTCATGAGCCATCTCGGCTCCCATCAGGGACCTATTGGAGCGTTTTGTTCTACCCAGCATGTGGCTTCCATTGTAAAGGTCACCTCATGATTCAAGGTGGCCCTTGGAGCTCCAGTCATTATGTTTATGTTCCAGCTGGCAACAGGGGAAAGCAAAAGAGGGAAAGAAAACTTCCTCCCAGCAGCAAAGGTTCTTTTTAAGCTGTGCTCCAAAAATGCCTCCATCGTCTTCTTAGAGGTCTTTGGCCAAACGATAGTCACCGGACTATGTTCAGTTGTAAGGGAGGACCAGGAAATAGAGACTTCAGCTGGGTACATTGCTGCCACCCAAAAATCAGGATGCTATTACTAAAGTAAGAAAGGACCGGCAATCAGCAGTCACGTGGCCATCAGCAGTCCCTGCCAGTCCTCCTTCCTGCTCCCAGCCTTTCCCTCTACATTCCATTCCTCTCACAGCAGCCAGAAGGTAATTCCTCTGCTCACAACTTGTCAATGGCTCTTGACATACTTAAAGTAAAAGCCAAAGTCCTTCTGGTGCCCTTCGAGGCCCTTTGTGATCTGGCTCCACTGTCAATCTGACCTCATCTCCTATCTCTTTTCCCTTCTCATCCTGCCCCATTGCACATCAGACAGACAAAACTGGCCCCTCTATTAGGGCCTTTGCATTTGTGGTCTCCTCTGCCTAGGACTTTCTTTTCCCATATTTCCATCGGGTTTGTCCTGTGACTTCCTTCCAGTTTCTGTACAATGTTATCTCGTCAAAGGACTCTCCCCTGACTACCCCATACGTAGTGCATGCCCGCACCTACGTTCTTTATTCCCTTGGCCTTCTTTAATTGTCTCCATAGAACCTACCACCACCTGAAATGTTAGCATGTTTTATTTAATGTGTATCTCTCCTCACTAGGAAACAAGCATCATGAGAGCCATGATTTTGTCTCATTCCTTCACTGCTTTTTCCCCAGCACCTAGGACAATGCTGAAAGGTAGTCATCACTCAGTAGATCAACTCTCATTGCTCTGTGATTCAGGGTGGCCCTGCATCTTGCTAGAACGTTCAATGATCATCAAAGGGATTGTTTGACGTTAAAATATATATTTGTTAAAAGAAAATGAATGAATGAATCCTTCACCCACTCCATGAACCCTAGTCTAATTAGAAACTCAGCTAATCCCTGTGTTATAAAAGCCTCAAAATTGTAAAAGGAATATGAATCCAGGGGTTTGCCTGCTGTTACCATTCACCTTTGCAGAAGTGTCCTTATCGTCGGGATTGTTGCTCATTTCAGGGATTGAGGCACTCATGCTCCTGGAAAACCAAGCTCGCGCAGCTGTAGAAGATCACCAAGGCTGTGTTCTACCCTCTTCTTTTACTGCGTGGCTAAAAGTAGGGCTCTTTCGGGAAAATGTTTCAGTTGGATGCCCATATTGCAATGATGGTAAATCACAAACCACCCTGATCTGTTTCTCTGCCTTGGAATTGCGAGTCAGGTGAGAGCATGGGTTTTAATGTAAAGATTAAAACATCACTTGTTTCCAGTCTTGTGGATCCCTGGTCATTGTGTCTACGGGAACTTGGTCTTGGGTTCTCTGTACGCTCCCCAGAGTGCATCCTAAACGGACCTACCCGCACATGAAGAACAAGAGGTGCTCTCCACCCATGCACCCGCATTACCCTGCCCCCTCTCTTAAGGAGACAAAATGTATAAATAAGCAAGCAAGCAAATAAAGAAAGCATTAAAGAAAGGGCTTTTAAATCTTAAATGTTTTGTAATAAATGACAATTACTAAACTATTAGTTAAAATTACTATGTTCCTAGCATCTAATCACTTTACATGAATTAAGCCTTTTAATCCCCACAACAACCTCATGCTGTAGGCACTATTATTTTCCTCATTTTACACATGAGGAAACAGACTATGAGAATAATGGATATATCAACTATGGGAAACCTAGTGGGGGAAGGTTTCCCAGAAGAGATGGTACATGAGCTGGATTATAGGATGAGTAGGATTTAGTTGCCCAGGGGGAACTCCCAAGTAATTCGAACTGACTGAGAAAGAGTGCAAATTCGTGTCTGGTAGACAATGGTTGAGCCTGCTCAGAGATGCATCATTGCTAAGAATGGGGGGATTCCAACCACAGGAACCAACTGAAGTTTCCCCGAAGGTTCTTTAAAGATTCGCCCCTTTGTGCCAGTGCCTGTCAGCCTCTTAGCTCTTAGGCAAGGGTTAAGCAGAAATCCTTGATCCTATTTTAATTAAATGGATGTTGCAGAGAAAACAATATTAATATAGGGAGAGCACAAAAGACAGGCATGGCTTAGATTTTTGCAGGAAAAAACCACTGATCCAAAATGATACCGTTAAGTGCAGACACTGTTTCATAGTCCTAACGTGACACAGAGCAAGTTTAATTGCTGCAACGTGGTGGAATCTTCCAACCCTGAGAAAAGTGAGGGCCCACAACAGGTCTTTTTCTTTCCACAGTGAATTTTCTTTAAAAGTCTTTGTTTAGTCTGCATAAAAAGTCTATAAAAACATTCAACTTTTTTTGTCTTTGGTTTACAACTAAAGACAAAAGCCTTCTTAATATTGAATGTCTAACTTAATAAATAAGAACTATGTCACTTTTACCGTGTAGATTGCTGTTTGATCCGTGCTTTTAAAGCTCTTGGCAGTAGAAATGAGCACTAACTTTAGAGTCGATTGTCTGTCTGATTTATTTTTCACCATGCTCTTATGGGGTTCTAAATTGCATCTAATTACCTGCTTATATTTTTCACATAAAAATTCTTGACTATACTCTTAATCTATGTTAATAGAGTTTAAATTCAATATATCCTTTCAATCATGCAATAAGTATGCATTTAGCACTATTAGGTGCCTACCACTCTGCTAATTGCCCCAAAGCAGAACAGAGAAGTGTAGGCCCAGCTGTTCAGCCCTCAAAGAGTTTGCTCTTTGCCAGGGTTGTCATAGTGAATAAATTCGACGACAGTGCAAGGCCGTATGGAATTAAATGCTAAATTGTTTGTTACACACTAACAAAATAAAGCCACTCCAATCTTTAGAGAAATCAAATATTCGAGGCATCTCTAAAAGAAATGCCTTTCTTTAATTTATAAAACTATCTTCCAAATCTTTGTCCTTTGAGTGTGGAAGTGATTTTTAGATTTGTGAGTTACTCATAAGCAAGTATGATGAATAAAGTAGACGATGAAATTGGTAATTACTTTTGGTCCAAGAGTGGTGTGACTCTGAAGTCATGGTGATGATGTTCTTGTACTTTAAGTTGATTGTATCTAATGCACATTATCGGTGGGTAGGAAGCCAGGTGTCAGGCCAGGGAGATAGAGGGGTCTGCAAGGGGCAGGAACAGCCTGGGAAAGTGGAAATTTACATGAGGCCTCTAAAGTCATTATTTCTATAACTAGTTGAATAATGCTTTTTAAAATGAACTTCGTGTGATGCTATGTTACTGGTCTATTATAAAATATGCCTGTTGCTTTTCATGCTGCTAAGCACAAATATAAATTCCAATATATTCATTTATCACAAAATACATTTTTTCTTTTAATCAGATCAGTGATTTGATTGACTCATCTGCCTTGCTTAAAAGGGATGAAAAGAAAGTAATAGAATGTTTTTTTAATTATTAATCCAAATGAGTGTTGTCACCTTCACATTGATATTTAAATCCCAGTGTATTGCTTAAAATAAAATAAAAAATGACACTTTATTTCATTTTCTATAACTGACCACATCTCACTCCAGTGTCCCATTCCCTCAAGTGAGTGAGTAAGAGATGGTGGGAATTGATCCAGCTCAGCCTGTTCTGGTTGGAAACAATCTCTTTCCGGTTACACTAGGTGAAATTAGTCACTTTGGGATCAGTACTCAGTCAAATTCAAGGTGCAAACTCCCTGCAAAGGCCCCCCTCTTCCTGGCTAAGAGGGTTTCATGTTGGGAACCTGTAGTGCTTCCAGAGGGAGGCGCAGGTGCTGTGGCTCACAGACTGTCTCCAGTGCCCTGTGACTTCGACTGCTGCAGCCCCAACAGGTGACATCTCCATCTGCTCTCTGCTTCTCATTGCTGTGGCTCCTAGCTTAGGGCCTGGATGGAATTGGATGTGAACAAAACCAACTCCATCTCTGTGTCCTGGGTTTCATTTTTAAGTGTCATGCTTGACCTTTGAACAACCTCACTGTCCTTAGCAAGTGTATCAGCCTTCCAGTAGCTGATTATCTGAGTTCCTTAAAATGTAGCCATAAATTTTTTGTTAGTAATGGCCAGAGTGTCATTACAACTGGCAATGTCAGTTGTATATCAAACTGGCAATAGTATGGATTATAAACAATCTCATTGCTACCAGCCATTCCCAGATTCAGCCCTGCTGTCATGGTAGGCTAATTCCCCGTTCTGACAATGGACTCTGTACAAAACCCTGACCCTTTGAAGTGTATATCTCTGCCTTGCCTCAGGACAAGTTGTGTTAATAAAAAGCATGAGGTCCTGGGATGAGGAGACCTGAGAACTTAGATCTTGGATCTTAGCTCCTTTAGCTAAGCTCCTCTGACCCCCAAGTGCCTTTCAAAATTATATTTCGTCTCATGACTCTTTATTAGCCTCTGGACTCTTACTTAATCTACGCACAGCCTTCTCCAGATTCCTGAACCTTTCTTGATGCTGGAATAAGAACCCCGGCATCTCATCTATCACAAGACCGCCAAGAGGT